AAGGATAAGGATGCTGTGGGATAAAAGAGAAGGAAAATAAGTGATAGCTTCTTGAGTATGAATCTGTTTTCCTGGTAGGAAATCATAGCAACTGTTGTTATTGTAGCTCAAAGCCAAAAACATACTATATTTGACAGTTTTAATCTTACTGTACAACAAGCCTGTAAAATAACATGAGCTGAATGCTTCTTCCATGTCAACTTTTCTTTGTGAATAAATGGAATAGCCATGCTATCCTTTGTTAGGTCATCAGAATAGTCTTTCGTTTGTTTCCTAAGGCCTACCACAGTGCAAGAGAGGTGCTCTATAAAAAATGGAACAATAAAAGAAAAAAGAATACATTTAAACTGAATGAACTGGTTAAAGAAACTGAAAGATGTAAAGTTTCTGTGGAAGCAGCATGCTTATCTTGAATAATAAAACTCTTCTATACACCTTTACTTAATCCAAACAGTTCAGTTTCTGTAACACAGATGGGAATTAAACTAATGGCAAATTCTCATCCTAGCTACTATAGTATCAAGAAAGCTCCCCATATCACTCCGTCTTTGTAAAGCACAAACTTCTGGTAGAAATTTTTTGTGGAAGCATTAGGAGCCCACAGTAGTCAGCATGGTAAGAAGCATCTTGTTAATTCTAAGTCTTAGTATTAAACAAATGCAAAAAAATAGCCAATCAAGTCAGAATAAATCTGTGTAGACTCCTTTGCTTAAGAGCAGCTCTCTCGCTAGTTAACCTTACAGAGAAAAGAAATTCAAAATACTCTCACAAAGTTCTTGAATATTCTATTATCTGTTCCATTTATTAAAAAGTGAGTGAAACTTACTCCTGCCCAGCAATGCCTGCCATAAGTTAATGGGGGCAAAGTTCTCTGCAGTGGTATCTAGTGGTGGCAATAGTTACAGTTAAGTAATAAGAGAGGATCTGAAATTCTGTGACAACTATAGCAACTAAACGTTGCAACAAAAGGTAAAATAAAGCTACTGTTTGAAAAATGAACACCCTATGTGGGCAAAACAAACAGGGAAACCAGGAAAAAGTATACTGTTCCCAGCTAAACATTAGGAAACTGAACTGATGTTCCAATACCCATTTTAGTCACGTAACTGAGACACAGAATTCGGAGAAGTAACATGAAAAACCTCTCATGTTCACAGTTAACTTTGGATGGTGACCTATTTTTAATAACAACATTTTGAACAACATGGGAACAGTGTGGCCATTTTAATTAAAATCCTCTTGCAGTTTATTAAGGAGATAGACAGCAAAGCAAGTAGGATGGCAGAGACATTCAGTTAGGACAGTGGCAGCGGCTCTCAGGAGATAATGAACCTCTTTGGAACAATTTTTTCCCTGTATCAGAAGAACCATCTGGCCATTTTCAGAGTGCTGATCAGAACAGCTATTACAGATTAAACGCATTTCTTGCATGTATAGTTCTCTTTCACAATCAAATGATTCACCACAACATGATGAATTTGTTGAAATGGGTGATAAGGCACTTGCACCTACAGTTACTCTACCTGGGACTCTTAGGACACTGGTGTCTTATGACAATGAAGAGTTTAGCATGACTAAATCAACTACAATAAGTTAGTAACTTACGTAGACGTAGTGACTCAAATTCTTAAAAGTTTTCAGAAATACCTGAAACAACATCAAGACCTAAATCTCAGTCTTACAGTTTTCCATTCAGCTTAGCTTTGTCCACTATGTAGCAAGATACAGAACAAAAGCTTGAAAGTTTTCTAAAATTCAAACCCCTCACCAGATTAAACTCAAAGTCCAAAGGGGAAAAAATATACTTTGTTTCAAAACTCACCATTTGTAGCCAGATGTTTGTTGTTAATACTTGATTCTTTTCATCCTGAGAGGAAGGAGAAGGAAAGGAAGAAGAAAAAACCAAACAACAAGCTTAGTATCATACAGTTAAAACAATACCGGTAAATATATTTGACTATTATGAAATAGCCAGTTGCGCTAAGGTACATTTTAAAGCAAAGGGAATCATTGCCTTGAACTTAATGCAACAGAAGTTTTCACAGGTACTTTTAAATGTACTTCATATTACCACAGTCAATCAAACTGTTTCCTGAGGGTATCCTTCTGCCAGACTCTTCCCTGGGGCTTCTTTTTTAATAAAGAATCTCAAAAGGCAAAGCAGATTCCAGTAGGGGTTGCCTGTTTCACCTTTGTTAGGAGCAGCCCTCTCACTAATTAACCTTACCCACCAGACATACGCAGGTAATAGAAAAAATATTGAACAAAGGAAGTGTGACTAAGCTCAGATGATGTGTGTTGAGGCCATATTGAGTAGCTTAACAGGCAAGTAGCACCACTGATATCGGTGGAACCATTCAAAAAATGGTGTACCAGCTTTACCAGAAAACTGTTGTCAGGGCAGAACATTATTATTCTACCTGGAACAGTTCCAATTTGAAGGCCTTCCCCCTTGCCTCCTGTGACTATGACACAATAGGCATCTTAATGCTGCAGTTAATTAAAGAGTGTAATTCTTCACTCCTCAGACACAGGAAAACGTTGGTGACCTTATTTCTGTGGAGGTGCTGTATCAGTATCCACCTGGGTTGTGTGAAGCTAATGGAATATACTATATATATGGTCAGTATTGCACATTCTCCAAACTGAATGCACAATCCCTGTCAAAGCTTAATTTACAGTCTAAGGAAGTGTCATAGCAAGTTTCAGTCACCTGTACGGCAGCAACTGTCAGAGTTGCTTGTACATCTAGACCTCTGAACTTAAATCTGTCACTCTTGAACTTAAATGTTTTTCCTAAATGCCAAAAAAATGGCAAAAAAAAAAAAGGTTTAATCACATTTCATATAAAAACAAAAAAAGCTTTCTTTTTTGATAATACTCTTTACTAAAGGTCAATACTCTTTACTCTTTTGCTGTTGTGGTGGACTTCAAACTGAACAAAAGTCCTGAGAGACCTTTAATTGAAGCCATTCTAGAGCTGCACAATAGTAAAAAGTAACACAGCATGTAAAATCAAGTACAGTGCAAGGGACAACGGCATTCTTAAAGCAACTGAAACCTTTTGAGGAGCAGCATCAGTAAACGTATGTCAGTGTTACTAGGTAGTGTATAATCACAACTAAATGTACAACATACAGACAAATAAAAAGATTTTAGGTGAAGATTGGTATTGTGCATGAATAAAGTCTGCCCTCAAATGCACATTCCTACCTTCCTTTAAAATGAAAAGTAAAATAAAAAATATAAAGAAGCACAGACCTCAGCTAGTGATTCAGCACTTTTCCTCTCTATTTTCTGCTTCATCACCTCCGTGAACCTTACTTTTTCAAAAGTATCTCAAGTGAACAACTCATTTAAATGGCATCCTGGGGAAACAGGTCTCTAACCCTTTGGTTTCAGGAATACATTATTAAGCTGCATTGAATTAGCATGCTGAAGATGTCAGCCAGTCAAAGCAGTAATTAATTTGCAATAGTAGCTGTTTTTCTCTAGCCATACAAACATAAATTTGGTGCCTCTCTCAACAACCTGCTTATAGTGTTAGAGCACAACAAAACTAGTTTGCATGGGATCTTTAATTCATGAATGAAGAAACAATCCGTACGGGATCATTCATATCACCATGAACTAAAGTCTATAGACAAGTGTTGCAAATTAGGGACATGTATAACCTGCATGTTTTTATTCATCATAGCCATTTTTAGGTCAGATGTAAATACCACCAATGATAACTTACCATTAAAAGTTCTATAGCATTTTCTCAAAGCTCTGTGTGCTGTCCCAGATGAACATGACAAGTTCCTATAATGCAATGTCCCATCTATTGCACCTGAGCAAGGCCGAGAGCACCACTACTGCCTGGTTTCTCTGCAGGGCAGACAGTAATTGTGTTGCTTTGCGCAGGCGTAACTGGCTACTCAAAGGTGCAGAGCAATTCAGAAATCATTATGTTGTGGGAAGCTTGTTTCAGGACTATTAGCTGAATGGCATGTATTCCTGCATGGTTAAATTCTGAGTTAAACTCACATTTTATTCCCAGTGTGATCTCTTTCTACACATGAATGGCACCAGCCTTAGATTAGCGATGTTTCAAAAATTCCCTTTTCAGTAGCAGGAAAAGATTGTACTAAAGCTGGAGTGCTGCTGATGCTTAAGCTAATGATATGCTGCGGGGATTTATTTTGAAGCCCTGAGCCCACAGCATAGTCAGATGAACTATTTTAGGAGTACTAGAAAGGAGCTCTACTATCAACCAGCACACATCACAGAACCAGGCTAGAGAGCCATCACTGAGCAGTCAAACTGGTAGAGCTGAGGGGGACAGTAGATTTTTAATCCAGCTGTGCTGCTGGCAGAATGATTTAGCTGCCTGCCTCACTGCCAGGCATCTGGGCACATGGCAGAGCCATGGCAGGTTTGCCTGCAGGAGACTCTGCAGGCGTATTCTGAAAGCCAAGAATTATTCTGAAGTGTGATCTTTCACTCAAACCTAGCTCGAAGAGGGTATCCTGAGAGTATTAACTCAAAAGTAACTTGTACAGTGAAGGTAAGCGCTAAATGAAGATGGCCCATGCTGTTTTCCTGGCATTTCTTTCTGTTATTTTAAGCATTTAAAGCCTGAAAGAGGGTAGTTGAACAAAATAACTCCCACTTGGATCACTATATTTAAGGTTCCATCAGTGTTTGAATCATAAATCCTATCATTGCTCCTTAGCTATAAAAACTTTGCTGCATGCTAAGACTTGGTTTATAGTGGTGGGTTTTTTATAGTGTTTGTTGGCGCAAATGGCTTCCAACATTTTAGTCATTATTGGATTGACTCACCCATCACTAGAGGAAAGATTCTGATTTTAGAGGGTTTGTCCCTTTCTATGGTCCCAAGTGAAGCTGGTGAAAGGTGGGGCAGGAGACATCCTGCAGGGTTTCTCCCATCTAGGAGAGTTTTTTTGACACTGTTACAAAAGCTTTACAGCAAACTGCATTAACACTGTTTTTCATCAGAGTTGTGCAGTACTTCCCATAAAATGATGGGTGGGCTTGAAATGCTTCATAGAACTTCACCAGTTTTTGTCACTTTGCAATATTTTGTAAACACTTACTTACAGAAGAAGTGTTGAACACAAAAGCAAGGCAGCTCCTGTTACAAACTCCTTCTACTATAAAGGAGCAAAGAAAACGGACTTCACAATATATTCTGAGATGCTGGGAAAATTAGTCAGAGAATGAGACCAGAAACTGTATCATGTTGTTTGGATTGGTGTGCTTTTTTCCCGTACCAGCTACTTTAGGTTACCAGCTGTTCAGATAGCGCTGGCCAAGTAGTGCAGCTGATGAAGAGTTTGGTTTCATTCGCGCAGTGGGAGGTGGGTGGGAGGCTACTTCGGTCTACTTGATTCATAACTGTAGTCATGATCTGTGAGGGCAGATGGCAAATTGCTACTGAACTGCTTGTCACATTATTTTATGGCAGTGTAGTTAATGAAGGGAAAGTAGCTGACATCAGGAAGACTTGAATGGTCCTTCCTTCATTTTTGAAGGTAGAGGTAACCATTTCTGAAAGTTTTTGAAGGGAATTGCACTGTCTCCATTCTTCCAGTTCCCATCTCTGGTTTTGTATGTCTTTTCAATTTAAACAGCCTATCAGACTGATCACCTTTGGAAACACAGTATCAGATTCTCACATTATCCCTCCCTTACCCTGTTTCAAGAGAATATATAAAAGAGATGGAAATTTGACAATGCTTTGTGAAGGGCATTAGCCTGGACATTACAAACTTTGTAAGGAACATTATCTGCTGATTTTCAAAGGGATGTCAGCACATCTAGTATCCTCACTAGAAAAGCTATGCAGCAAAAAGCAAGGGAAAAAAGAAGTAAAATTAGCCTGCATGCCTACACACTGACATGCAGACAGTGACGTGCAGCACCTAGCGAGAAACACATACTTCCCAGAAGACTTGCATAAAGCGAGTCTAAAATCTAGTAGATGGAATTCTTCAACTTCAAATCCAGATTCTTTATTTTTACACAGTTGAATCTCACCTAAATTACAGAAAAAGTAATGCCTCTTTGAACTGGGCTACAATTCCTATGAACCTTAATAAAAGAGTTTGTAGAAACATTTGAAGACATCCCTTGTTATAGCAGTAATGCTAGGTTCCTGATTGGTACCTCGTAGCAAGACTGAAGCTAATAATTGTAGTCTGAAGTTAAAAATGGGCTGGCAGCCAGTGAGAGACACATAAGGCACTCCCTATATAGATTTTCATTTTTGTTTCCTTGAATATCATCCTACTGAAACCAGCAGGTTAATCAGTTCATTAGCTCTTATCTCATTGTCTCAGCACTTGCCCATTAAACATTCTTAACATCTTCTGATCCACAATGTCAAACTACTAGCACCTAATGATGTTTTTTTCCCACATCATTTAAAACCCTGTTATGTTTAATTTTTGCTTCACACAGCTTGGGGTTTTCTTCCTCTTCCTTTTTACGGTCATGCATTGAGCTCACTAAACTATATAAAGTGAAAAAGCCTGAATTCTTAGAGGATTAGTACTGAGGGAATGGGCTGGAGGGTGAGTTAAGCACTCATAAAACGGCCAGTTGACAGAAGATTGATGCTATGGCCATACTTTAGGCAGCCGTAGTGACAAGATGAATCTGAGCTCCTTGAAACTTACAGAGAGTAGTGAAGGGGCTGGACTTCTCCATTTCTAACCATCGTGCACCCTGGGTGGCCAACCTCCAGGAGAGGCCAGAGCAGCATGTGGTCCAGCTTCACCCACCTGGAGCCCACCTGAAAACACCATAGTGACCTCGCATTCTTTATAACACTAAGTCAACATGGGGGACTATTGCAAT